AGGAGAGACATGAGGAGATACAAGGGGTGAGCTATGGAGTGGAGAGATAGATTGGTGTGTCATCGGCATAGAGATGGTCTGGGAAGCCGTGCGAGGTTATCAACTCATCCGGGGAGGAGGTTCTAGAGAAAGGAAGGGTTCCGAGCCATGGGGGACCCCGAGGGAAAGAGGAAGAGGAGGAGGAGGAGGAGGAGACTGAAGGTACTCGGAGATAGGTAGAAGGTGAAGAACTATGAGAGAGCAGAGACTTGGAGGGTATTGGGGAGGAGCAGGTGGTCAGCTGTGTCACGGCACGTGGATGGAGGAGTGAGCTTTGGTTTTCGGGTTCTGTGGAGCGTTGCAGACCAAAGCCGGATTGGAAGAGGTCAGGAAGGTTGTCAGCGGTAAGGCGGCAGCTCAGGCAGTTGTAGATTAGGCGTTCAAGAGGTCTGGAGGTGAATGGGTGCGAGAAGACGGGTCTTAAGTTTGCCAGACTGGTGGGGACCACTGAGGGCTTGTTTAGTACGGGGGGGTCACCAAGGATTGTTTTACAAACCCCGATATTCTCCACTCCATCCAAAACCCCCCCAAAAAATATTTCGGTTAGGTTTGCCCTTTAATGTGAGTTTATGTCGTTCATTGCAGAATTATTCCAGCGAGTTCATATCTGCTTCTGAGTGATAAAAGATTGTTCCTTGTGTCTGAGAATAAGAATCCAACAATGGGAGGAGCCGAGAGTAACCAACCTGCTCATTCATATGGCTCAACAGATCACCGGATCACCGGATCACCGATGATATGATATAGTGTAGTGACCTGGGTCATCTTATATCCTAATAGAGTGTAAGCTCTTCTTCCTTCTGTATCCTCCCTTATATCCTAATAGAGTGTAAGCTCCTCCCCCTTCTGTATCCCCCTTATATCCTAATAGATTGTAAGCTCTTCTACCTTCTGTATCCTCCCTTATATCCTAATAGATTGTAAGCTCTTCTTCCTTCTGTATCCTCCCTTATATCCTAATAGATTGTAAGCTCTTCTACCTTCTGTATCCTCCCTTATATCCTAATAGAGTGTAAGCTCTTCTTCCTTCTGTATCCTCCCTTATATCCTAATAGATTGTAAGCTCTTCTTCCTTCTGTATCCTCCCTTATATCCTAATAGAGTGTAAGCTC